AGGCAAATTCCTAAGAAAGAAAGAAAAAAAAGAGGCAGCCAGGGGCTGGTTGGGGTAAGCAGGAAGGGGTTTTTGTTTAATGAGTACATAGTTTTTGTTATAGATGATGAAAAAGTTTTAAATGCAGATCCTAGTGATGGTTACACAACGTTGTGAATGTATTTAATGTCACTGAATTATACATTTACAAAATGGTTAAAATCATAAATATTTTGTTATATATATTTTACCACAATCAAAAAAATAAAAATCAACTACTCGGTAACATCAAGCCTTCCAATTTTACAAATTTTCTTGTAATAAACGAGTATTTCAGACTAGTTTATTCAGTAAACAGACTTCTTAACACAAATCAGGCAAATAGGAATACCTCAGTGTACTGGAATTTTAAAAAAAATTCTGATTCCTATTCTTCACAACCTTCCTTACCCACAGATATGTATATATGCATGTACTTCAACATCAAGGAAATACTTAAAAAGAAAGAAAAGGCTTTTAAGACATTTTATTGGGATGAGTACACATAATTCAATAATATAGTCTTCTTGACACAGGTAATGATTCACTTCAACATTGTTAATAAAATAGGCTTTCAAGCCAAATTGTCTGGATTAGAATTCTGGTTCTGCTACTTTTATAGCTATTACTTAAACAACTTGAGCCCCAGAGTTTCCTTATCTGTAAAATTAGAATATTTATTTCAGATGCTATCAAGAATAAAATTGAGTTAATACAAGAAGTATGCTCAAAACAATGTTTTCAATAGTAAGCATTCAATAAGTATTAGCTATTATTTGTATTATTACTCAACCAATGCATGAAATCACACTAACACAATAGATCTGGTTCACTAGAAAATGAAAATAGATTTTCTGAAAATTAAGGAAGATCTTGAACAATCATTTTGTTTTCAAGCTGTTAGTATGGCAACAAGAAACCAGATTAAATATTTTCCCTTTTAAAAATTCCAAAAGTCTCAACATTAATTTAGGAACACATGTCCCCTAAATGTTTATTCTGCTCTCTAATACAAAGTTTCCTCTACTTTTCATACTAATCTATTGTGGCCAGAAATACTTTGTTCTCTCTGTTTCTAAGGTTTCATGTATGTTTGTAGATGTGTGTTTGAGGAGAAGAGGAGGCAACATACCTCTCCTCTCCTGTTAACTATCTGATAGTAAATGTTCCTTGAATGAGCACTGTCTACCACACCTCTTCATTGCTAAGGAGTACTATCTACTTATGCTATGAAACTATAGAGTTGACTACAAATTTTATCCTCCAAAATAGGGCACTTGTGAGTGAATAATAATCATTCAAGGATAAAAGGTATAAAGTAGGATTATCCTAGGCAAATCTATTTATGAAAGAACTGGTTAACACCCAAAACTATGGGCTGAATATATCATTACTTATTTGTCCCATCATATATAGGACTATAGTTTTAAAAACTTATGCATTTGAAAGCTAACAAAGGCAAAATTAAAATATGTTTAAATTCTCAAAAGAATTTTTTTTCCTTTTAGTATTTCTCAGCTAAGCACAAAGAAAACCTAGGGTTTCTACTAGAAAAATAGAGCTTACCTATTAAGGCAGCGGTTCTCAACCTGTGGGTCTCGACCCCTTTGGGGGTCGAACGACCCTTTCACAGGGGTCGCCTAAGACCATCAGAAAACACATACATAATTACATATTGTTTTTGTGATTAATCACTATGCTTTAATTATGTTCAATTTGTAACAATGAAATTGGGGGTCACCACAACATGAGGAATTGTATGATAGAGTCGCGGCATTAGGAAGATTGAGAACCACTGTATTAAGGCAATGCTTACAAAGGACTCCTGAGCCACAGAGCTTTCTTTCATTAGCTGCATATGATTGTTTTTTGTTTTGCTTTGTTTTTAGAGAAACACTGATGAGAGAGAAACATTAATTGGCTGTACATCCTCTACTGGGGATCCAGCCCACAACCTGGACATGTGTCCTAACCAGTAATTTAATTGGTTACTTCTTGGTACATGGGGTGATGTTCAACCACTGAGCCATACCTGTCAGGCTAGTTGCATATGGTTCTTAAGGTGATATAAATGACGGCAAAGTCAATAGAGCATACTGTAATCATGTGGTTCTTTGGTAAATGATGTCAAAATGTGTCTTTAATCAAAACCTACATTCAGCTGGTATGTATCTATGCAGCTATAGTGTTATTTAAAGCCAGTGGCCATTCTGATTGGTAAGTGCCTGTGTGACTGTACCAACTATAAATCTGAAAATCCCCATGTTACAGTTGCATAAATATATTTGAACTCAATTAGCTAATATATTTGGAAAATTTCAAATACACACAAGACATCTGTGATTAGCACTGTGGGTAAACATACTCTCTTCAACAGCTCACAAAAATGAGAGGTATTTCAGTTAGCCTCCACATACAAATATTTGTTTTTTTGTATGAATTGGCATCTTCTCCCACCTCAATCTAGCAAATATACCACGGTTAGGTATTGCTTAAACCAGTATCAGAATTTATCTATATTTGTATTTCTAGGTATTTAAAATATGAAAAGCATGTACTTGAAAATTAACATGAAATACATAGTTTATGTAACAAAAATAATCTATTACAGAATTCCACAGATAATGTGAACATTAAAAGATTTATCCTTTAAAAAGATTGTATTGCAAAAAATGGGGGTAAGGTATCATTATGAAAAAGCCTACTTTCAGATAATGCCAGTGCCTATCAGCAATATCTCCCAGAGCTACTAAATATTCTTATACCAGAGATATTTATTTTTTCATCATTAATACATATCACCACTCTCTCACCTTAACAGCTAGTATTGAACTATATAAAATGGGATATACTATTTAGCTAGTAAATAAGAAAATCCTTCTAAAGTTAGTACCTAGTAAAGTTTAAATACAATTATAAAGAAAGCTAGCATAAGGAATATATATATATATATATATATTAATCATCTTTTAGTCTCATTAAATCAAATGTTCACAATTAACTATTTGTACATTTTATCTTTTTCAGAGGACAAAGAATGATTTAATGTAATCAAATCATTTATGAATCATTAAGTCATTACCTTTTTATTTAGTTCTCACCATATTAAAGACACAAGAATCGTGGGTCCAATCACAATTTCTGGCTTATGTTTCACAACAAAAATTCTTGTTGGAACAAGAATTAACTGAACTTTAGAAATAATGTTGCTTGGAGTAAGGACTTCTATCCTTATCCAGTTTTCTCCTTTATTTTAAGAAAACAAGATTCTCTATAGCTAGAGTAATTTTTCATAATTTTTAATCCTTTTGAAGGTAGAGATGACAAGGAAACCAAAAGTGTTTTGGCTTTAGGGCTGATGTGATAACTAACATTTAAAGGCCTACGATTACCTTATTCTGATCATAACTGGCACCTTAAAACAAAAACAGCTCTCTTGTAAATGTGAAGTAAGTGAGTGGTTGTGGCTCTTAAATATAAACTGACATATACTACAATCTTAACATGTATTTTACATTCTGATTAGGATCAATAGCTAATATTTAGCATTTATTATGGGCATTCTCCCTAGAAAAAAACTATTATCTAAATCTATTTTGTTAGTTTCATTAAATTTGGTTAAGGGGGGTAAATATTAGAAGTTTATTGGGAATAAAATAAAGGCCACTGGATAAAGGCCACTGGATGAAAGGTTGAAAGTATAAAATTTGGGGATTATTTATAATATTTTCTATTGACACTAATCTAGTTTTTAATAAATAATCAAAAGTGGCTACAAGTATAATAAAAATTTACATTAATTTTCTGTCTCATTTAAAAGAAGTAAATACCAGGTACCTGGCATCCAGAAGTAGTCTCCTAAAAGGAAACCAGTATAAAGACGATAACCAGACTGAGATTTTCATTTCAAAAATCTCTTCATGGGATAGAATTTTTTTAACCTATTCCAATTCTAAAAGCATCTTTAAAAAAATTTTAAAAACAAGTTAACATTGTTTACAATTCAATATGGGCTTATACATATATAATTAGCAACTTTAGTTTGGGGAATATAATATTTTTGGATCATTTTAGTATCTGTACATTCTCAATTTTTATATACTGTCTCTGCTATGCTGAAATAGCAAGACACATATGTATCTGTTTCAGTACAAATCTACTGAAGACAATATAATTTCATAATCTATTACCTTTAATGTAATGCAATCAATGAAGATGTTATCCTATATAATAAAATGGTAATATGCTAATTGAATGTCACACCCTCACAAGATGGCGGCGCCCAGTCCCCTCAGCCCTGCCGGGGGGGTCAGGGGGTGGTGGGGGCGTCTGCTGCTGGAGTCCCCCAGTCCCCTCAGTCCCGCCAGCAGTAAATTTTCATGCGATCATTAACTTTTGAAAAAATCCTTACCCAAGGATATGATTATTTCTTTTAGATCATCTGTTCTCAGGGAGCAGGCCTAAGCCAGCAGGTGGGCATCCCCCAAGGGTCCCAGACTGTGAGAGGGCGCAGGCTGGGCTGTGGGACCCCTCCCAACCCTGTGTGCATGAATTTTCATGCACCGAGCCTCTAGCTTTCAAATATATACATACTAGAGGCCTGTTGCACGAAAAGATTCGTGCAATAGGCCTTCCCTTCCCCTGGCTGCCGGCACCGGTTTTCCTCCAGCACCCGGGACCCAGGCCTTCGCTCCGGCCGGAGACGCCTTCAAGCCTTCGCTGCTGCGGCCGGAGCCGCCTTAAGTCTTTGCTCCGCCGCTTCGCACCTATGTATGCAAATTAACCGCCATCTTTGTTGGTGGTTAATTTGCATATCTCGCTGATTAGCCCATGGGAGGCGTAGCGAAGGTACGGTCAATTACCATGTTTATCTATTATTAGATAGGATTTTAATTGTTAAATACAAAAAAAAAAACACAATCATTCATGGGTTATTTACTTGTTATTTTTTTTCAAAACCAAATGTCTTATGTGCTATTTACCTGGTGGTGGAATCAGAGGTGGAGCAGTGCTGACAGTTGGAGGAGGTGGAAGAAATGGAGGAGGTGGAAGATGGGTGGGAGGAGCTCCTGGAGGGAAAAATGGAGGTGGTTTGCTAAAATTGTTGTCTACTTCAGTAGCAGATCTTTCAGAAAGGACCTAAAATTAGAGCATAGTTTATATTTTTAAATAAATAAACACTCTTATCTGCAATTAAACTCAAGTTAATTTCATTTAATATAAGAATCAAAGTAAAAAGCTTTATTCACATACACATATTTTGAGGAGGAGAGACTAATTTTCTGTGTAATGTGTGTGTATATACACAGATGTCAGTATACACTCACACACACGTACTTAAAACCCAGGAAAAACAACTGAATCATTACAAAAAGACTTCTGAATACAACATAATTGATAAAATATTCTAAACAAGAAACAATTAAGCACTTTATAAATATAATGTAATAAAGATTATCTTTGTTACCCAACAAAAGTTAAAATATTCAAATTAAGGGCCTTAGCCAGTTTGGCTCAGTGGATAGAGCATCGGCCTGCAGACTGAAGGGTCCCAGGTTCGATTCTGGCCAAGGGCACATGCCTGGGTTGCAGGCTTGATCCCCAGTAGAGGGGGTGTAGGAGGCAGCCGACCACTGAATCTCTCTCATCATTGATGTTTCTATCTTTCTATCCCTCTCCCTTCTTTGATCAATAAAGATGTAAAAAAAAAAAAAAATTAAGGCAATGTAAAAAGGAAGGAACTCCTACCATTTGCAACAGCATGGATGGAGCTGGAGAGCATTATGCTAAGTGAAATAAGCCAGTCAGAGAAAGACAAATATCACATGCTCTCACTCATTTGTGGATTATAATGAACAACATAAACCAATGAACAAAAACAGATGTAGAGACAGAGAAGCATCGATGAGATGCTCAAAACTCAGAGGGAAGGTAGGGGAGGGTGGGGGTGAGGGGGAGAGATCAACCAAAGGACTTGTATGCATGCATATAAGCATAAGCGATGGATGTGGACAACAGGGGGCGAGGGCAGGATTGGGGGTATGAGAGGACATTGAAGGGATAAGGACACATTTGTAATATCTTAATCAATAAAGGGAAAAAAATTATAAAAATAAAAAATAAAAAAGGCAAAAAAAGAAAGTAACATGGCATGAGGAATTCGGGGGGTGGGGGGGGGGAGAATGTGTATGGAAGGGATTAACCAAAGAACTTATATGCATAACCCATGGACACAGACAATATTTCAGTAGGTGGCAAAGGGGGGAAGGAGAGGAAAGGGGGATGAAATAGGTCAGTGGGGGATAAAGGGGGACATCTGTAATACTTTCAACAATGAAGATTTTAAAAAAAAATAAAGACAGTAACATGGCAGCAGAACCAGATATTCATTGTAACAGGTCCTGTCATCACCAGGTTGCAAAGAGACTGTAAAGTATGCATCAACAAGGTGCAAGAGGCAGCCAAATATATAAATAACTTATTGATATGACCCTTTTAACTTTAAGAACAAGGGTTAATACTTGAAAAGTAAAAGTGGTAACAAAATACTGATCTGTGTGAACAGGTAAGGGACAGGCAGCAAATCTACAGGAGATTTGCACCAAGAAATTTGGATTTTTGACAAGCTCCTGAGGAAATTGTAACTCACAAACACGTTTAGGAAACAGCAGAAACAGGCAGCATAATGGATATTTAGTTTATTCTTCTAAAATCCTTACTAGCTAAAGCATATCGCTTAAACATATAATCCTTCCTTTCATTAACTTTTCCTCCATTTATGCACAGTAATTTTTGTAAGGCATATACTGATGTTATTTTTTTAATGAAGAGAAGAGATTTATTTTAGGAAATTATAGCATTTTGATGGTGGGGGAAAGCGAGGACTATCTTCATTTTAGAAATCTCTTTATGCCCCTTTAAAGATGCTAAAAAGAACATTTTACATGATTAATTTATGAAAGATAATAAAAATCAAAACACTTGGTACATTTTTAAAGTACTCACAAAAAAATAACTAAAACAAAATAGAATTTTTTAAAGGATTCATTAGATCCCTTTCAGTTCACCAAAAAAAAAAAAAGAAAGGGCTTACAAATTTGTTTTCCCTGAGAAAAACCATATTAAATAAATTATGATATATCCACATAATAAAGTTATCATGAAGAGATTTTAAGTTATATCTTTAAGAATATAAGAAAATGAAAATGATACTTTCAAAAGAAAAAAAAAAAGGATACACAAAAATATAATAGTATCTCAAATCTTGCTTTGTGACAAGGGAAGAGATGTACCAGAATGTTAAGATTGATTATTTACATGGTAGAATTATTAGTGATTTTATTTTCTTCTTTAGACTTTCCCCATATTTTCCTCTTTTGGTCCAATGAAGCCATATACTATGTTTATAACAAATATTTCTTACTAAAATATTTCTTACAAAAAAAACAACCCCAAAGGTTATAAAGAGCAGCTTTTGTAATAAAAGGGTGATTGACTCCATATTTTAAATCTATTTGTGCACCCAACACATAGCAAAGCACTATGAATATATATTGATTGAATAAATTAAATTAGAACATGCATATAATTTTTCAGCTAAAAATATAATAAAGTACTAAACCTGTATGTTGCTGTTTTCATTTGCCCGTCGCCTTCCTTCAACTCGGCTGATGGTTATAGTCTGACCAATAACATCAATTGATCCAGGTAACCTCCTGTAACATAAAAATTCAATCAATTCACTTTCACCTAATTAAATGGTTAAAAATAACCAAATATCAAGTGAGAAATAAATCTAAAACCCTTTGCAATATACTTTAAAATAAAATCAGCTTACAATACACACTGAAAACACTTCAGTGAATTAGATTTCCCAAATTTGCTTTGTCATAAACACAAAATCTTAATAAACTTATGTCAACACATCCAATGATGATGTCAGATTTAAGTATTTTTATCGGTTTTCTTCTAAATGTACTATTTTTTAATAGTATCCAACTGAATTTATCCTTGTGGAACTGAATCAGGTAGCAAATGCTAAACAAATGGAAATAAAAATTTTGTGCCACTATAATTATAACACGTAACACAGTTCTATTACAGAAACTTTTAGAAATTCCCCAAAAGGGCCTAAAAAGAAATACTTATTTTGATACACACAGGGTATCTTCCTCAGTGACTTATTCCAAGCATTAGAAAGCACAAAAAGGGAAGCAGTTTTACATTTCTGATAACTTGCTTTTAGATAGAAAAACTCATGTCTGCCACACCTCCAATTGTATTTACAATCCATTAAAGTATATGAGTAGATGGAAAATAGTCTACCACAAAATGCTGCAAATTCAACAGGTAAATCTAGTAAGTTAAATTTTTAAAAAAAATGTTAAAAGCCATTTAGTATAGTTAAGGACTTCATAGAAGTATATATGCTTTAGATACAGAAATAACTTGTAGGAATAGGTAATGAAAATTAATACAAATTAGATGAATTTCTCTTCATCTATATTTGTTATAAACAATTCTATCGCAACCAATCGATGTGTCCCTCTCACATCAATGCTTCTCTCTGTCTTTTCCTCTCCCTTCTACTCTCTCTAAAAATCAATGGAAAAATATCGTCAGGTGAGGATTAATCAAAAAGAAGAAAAAAAAAGAGAAACTTATAAAGTTAGAACCACCGAAGTACCCTATATCCTTCCACAATCTCCAGAGTTAGGTTCCTAAAATGACTAAAAACAGCAGGTACCATTTGTTGAATGGTATTTACTTTATCTAAACCTCACAATAATCCTCATCTTAAAAAACTACTGTCTTCTTGTTAGATATTATAAAGCTAGGGCCCAGAGTGATGTCACTGACTGCAATGATTAAATGGCAAAACTAACTTTTTCAAACTTGAGTCTGATTCCAAAGCATACAGACAAACCCTTCCCGTGAGTCATGCTGCCTTCCAGAAAGATAACTGGCCCTGGAAAAATATAAGACTTCTGGAAAATCAAGAATTGGTATAAATTTGTCTCAAGTGAAGCTTGTAAAGTCCCATAATTTTATGTTCACAAGAACAAAATAGCCATATAGAAAGTGTATGACATTTGAAATGTCTTCAACTACACAGTCAACTCCCACTTACCATCTATTCTCTATATTTTAATAAAATTATTTTAAAAGTTCAAGCCTTTCTGATTTTATGCCTTTGTCACTGATTTCATGAACTCAAAGACCAAGAATGGTTTTATTTAACTTATACACTTCAATAAGCTGGGAAACTAACCTAGCATGAATGCATTAGAAAAATCCAAATACTTTTAACATAAATATTGCTCCAATTTCTTCCCCCAAACTTAAATTATAAAACTATGACCACTATAAACTTCCTATCAAAGATATATGCACACAACTCATATTCACACATCCTAACAGATAAAGGTGTATAGTCTAAGGCCAGGATTCCTCTAACAATTTATTGCTACATAAACTTCATTGTAAAATCTTAATTACCTTTCTATTCTCAATTGCTGGATTCTCCCCTCTCCATCTTTTTAAATTTATTCCAATCAAGAACAATTCTCATAAATTTGTTTGAGTTTGCAATTTGGACTGTAAATTTTCCAAACTGTTAGAAGTAGCAAAAATTAAATTTAGGTTATTTATCCTAATTATGTGCCAGGGGGAAATATTTCTATAATCTTTCAACATGGATTTCGAAGAACAACTGCTTTCAAAACCTCTGCAGCATATAGGAGTACTATATCTCTTAAAGTTTATTTTAAATATGATCAGAAAAGTCTAAATTTTTTTAGCTTTAAATGGATTATTTAATTACTAGAGATTCACAATGGCAACTACTATACTTCTAAAAACATACAAATGAGAAATTTATCTCTAGAGGGAGTCCAGAAATGTTTAATTCCTTACATTTCCATAAAATAAAATAAAAAACACTTCCTTGCCCAGGCATTTTAAAATATAAATATTTACTGATTACAGAGAGGAAGGGAGAAGTAGAAAGAGATAGAAACATCAATGATGAGAGAGAATCACTGATCAGCTAACTCCTGCGCACCCCCTACTGGGGATCGTGCCCTGATCGGAATTGAACAGTGACCTGCTGGCTCCAGCTGGGTTTTGCCCAGGCATTGTTATACACAAACTAGTGGCCCGGTGCACAAAATTCGTGCATGGGAGGGTGTCCCTCAGCCCGGCCTGCATCCTCTCCAATCTGGGACCCCTCTGGGTCCCACAGGAATCGGAACTAAACCGGCAGTCGGACAACCCTCTCGCAATTCGGGACCGCTGGCTCCTAACCGCTCGCCTGCCTGCCTGCCTGATCGCCCCTAACCACTCTGCCTGCCGGCCTGATCAACACCAATTCTCTCGCCTTCTGGCCTGATCACCCCTAATGGCTCCCCCCGCCGGCCTAATCGCCCCCAACTGACCCTCTTGCCAGCCTAATCTCCCCCAACTGACCCCCCCACCGGCCTGATCGCCCCCAACTGCCCTTCCCTGCCGGCATGCTTGCCCCCAACTGACACCCCTGCCGGCCTGCTTCAGCTCGTCCCAACTGCCCCCCCTGCTGGCCTGCTCGCCCCCAACTACCTTCCCCTGCTGGCCTGATCACCCCTAACCACCTCTGCCTTGGCCCCGCCACCATGGCTTTGTCCGAAAGGATGTCCGGAAGGTCTCCTGGCCTAATTAGCATATTATCCTTTTATTAGTATAGAAGATTAATGTACCTTAATCAGAAATGTGAAGGTTACCATTTTGTTTAGAAACATTTTATGAAAGATACATAAGCATGTACTAAAGAAACAGAATACATAGTAATACAGATGAGTAATTAATTCAATGTTATTCTGATGCTACTGGAAAAAAGTATTCAACTGTATTATTCCATAAGTTTTTGATGTAGGACTTTTTATTTCAATACATAAAAGATGTAGTAGAGCTTCATAATGAGGATCTTTTATAACTTGGATTTCCACACAGCACAACTTTAACTGAGCTTAAAAATTTGATCAGTAGGGCAGACAGCTAATGTAGCTATCAAGATTATCTTCCTTATACTGAACTCAATCATACAGTACATAAAGCTGAAAGAGACAAACTAATTACATGATATCTAGTTTCATTAATCTACAGTGTAATATAGGCAGAGAATGTTCTCAAGAGGATCTACCTTTCCTTCTGGCACAGATGAAAATGAAAACACCTCTGAAACTATAATATAATTAAATTAAAATGTCATCCTACATAATAAAGCCTAATATGCAAATCGACCAAATGGTGAAAACGACTGGTCGAACGACCGGTCGCTATGTTGCGCACTGACCACCAGGGGGCAGACACTCAACACATGAGCTGCCCCCAGCCTGCAGGCCCCAGGCAAGCCAAGGCAGGTACCAGCGCCCCCCACAGCCCGATCGCCCCATAGAAGGAGGCAACCACGGAGGGGGCCAGCTGGTGAGTGGGCCTGCGCCACCCCCCAAGTGCCCCACCCTCCAATCACCCCACCAGTCTCGCCTTCCACAGAGGCAGGTGCCAGCGGGGGCCCACCCACTGAATCACCCCGCCAGTTGCCCCACAGATCATCCCTTATCGCCGGCCAGGCCTAGGGACCCTACCCATGCATGAATTTAGTGCATCGGGCCTCTAGTATTTTGATAATTCTGATGTACCAGAAAGGGTATTAGAGCTGCTTACAGAGATAAAACAGAAATTTTAAGTGACAAAATCAGAGCCAAGGGAAGATAGACATGTACAGTATATAAGAAAGATTAAACAGGGAATCACTTAGGGGTCTGGAATTAATTCACTTTCCATTATTTTCAATGGGAAAAAATGATTCAGTTTTTGAACAAATCACTTCTCGAACAGCATTCCGGAACTAGTTAAGTTCGAGAACCAAGTTTTTACTTTATTTAATTCACAAGTAGGTTGCAAGTAAGGTATGCACCCAATTAGTTTCATTTTTACAGAATGGAAAAAGGCTCTTTAGTGCAGTAAAGTACCAGCACCAGGATTCAGGCTCAGATAAGAACAACTCCAAAACTTTTCCCTTCTTCGACAAGAAATATTTTCTATGCTAATTTTCTGGGGCCTGAATTTTTTAAATGTTTACTTTTTAAGCTATATCAAAAACAAACAAAAAACCGTAAAATGTGCTCATTGGCTAGTCAAGTGTGCTCATTTTTGTGCAGAGCATGGAATAAAGCTTTATCTACCATATTTATACTTAACTTCATTTTTAAATGTATCATTGATAGGAAATGATATTCTGCAGTGAAATGTTTAAAAATCAAGGCCTTCCTTTGTCTAATCACATAAAATCTTATAAGCTGCACAATATAGTAAAATGAAGAGTGACCAATCAAATGCTATAAAGGTACAGGTGCATCTCTTCAGTGCATTATTTCATCAAGACATAATAGTAACTGGTGTAAGAACAGATGTAAAGGTCTCTCTTAAATATAATGTTCTTTTAACATCTAGTTTTATCACTACAAGTTTTATGTTTGTCTATTATAAGAATGCAAGCACATTTGAGTGGTTCTACATCAAAAAACAATTTTACTATTCCTCTTTCAAGAATCCGACCAGTTAAAACGCACTGACATTGATAAACACGCTTAACAAAACAACGTTGAATCTGTAACTAATTACCTAAGAGGATCAGAATTTGATATTATACAATGAAAACAAAGAAATAAACTGAACA